TCCAACTCAAATGGCCCCCCCGAAAGAGGGCAAAACCCCGCTTGGGGAGCATGTGTAGTTAATAGAGAGGCTTCATTAGTGCTTACTGAGGATGCGTAGTAATTTACATTAGAAGCGAGAAACTTACAACCAATCCTAAGTGTGAATAACAATGAATATGTAGTGAACTATGAATATGTAAATGTTGCATGGTGTATAACATGTATCTTCATTTTACTCCGTGTGCAAGTTTGGAGGAGCAATCCCCCTTGCACCCGGCGCCGAAGTAAACATGCCTGCTTTACAATCTTACAGATTGTGGAGTCCATTTTTCCGCACGTCAGTGGCACCCTCTTGGCGTTGCCTTGGACTCTATCTCCTGGAGGCAGCATACCTCACGTGACTCCCTGTCAGGTTGACAGATGGGCGCCTCAGTGCCCCTTAACAGAGAGTCACCTACTACGAACACTCATTGTTTCTTTTTATGGTATCCACTGTGGTCTGTATTCTTTGCACACCTTGCTCATGCATGTCTATAGTTGTCAAAGTTTCATATCTATTTTTGGTTGTGATGCTGGAGGGTGGAGACTGAAGTGGGGTCCTGCTTTTGTGAGTCACCAGGGTCCAAGGTGCTTCATTCTTAATGGTGTCTGCTTCAGAAACCACTGTCTGGTTCTGAAACCACCTATTTATCTCCTCCTCAACTCCTCTAATACTGCACAGCCTTTTAACCGTTTCCTGAACTCAGCCACATGATTCAACAGATCATCAACCTGTGCACACCTTATGCAGGTACTCACCTTTACTCTAGAAAAAGGGTCTAGGCACTCATTGCAACCTACCGCCTGTACTGAGGTCTCCTTCTTTGCCAGTTCCATCTGGGTGGAAGCATTACACATCTCAGGGACTTTGTAGGAATTCTGGTTTTAGCTCTGAGGAGAGTGCCAACAATTTTGGCAGAGACTTTAAGCATTTCCCTGGGCTGTGGACCTTCAAGCAGATTGCAAAGCCCTTCCTGCACACCCTCCCTGCACAAACTACCACGCCACGCCCTGGCTGACATGCCATGCCCTGTTTGCCCACTCTGCTCACAGTGCTCCTGGTTGCTAGCACTCCTTAGGGCCATTTAAATCTCCTGCGATTGCTCCTGGCAACTTCCCAGTCACATCAGCCTCACTTGTAGGAGCTGCTGCCTCCTGATGGGTCTTTCTGCTCTTTCACAGGTTTCTCTGGCTCTGGGAAACCCCGATCTGTCTCAGTCTAGTGCTCAGCCACAGAACTTACTGTTGCTGTTACTGCACATCTTGTCGACTGAGTGCTGCCTTCAGTTTCTCCACATTTAAATCTCCCCCAGTTGCTCCTGGCAATGCCCCAGTCACCTTAGCCTTAGTCGTGAGAGGTGCTGCCTCCTGAGAAGTCTCTGCAATTAGTTCATCTGTAAATGACGATATTAGAAAAATCTTCAGGTAAGATAGAGGAATGCATTTTCTATTGTTTTCCATCATTTTCCATCTGTCTTTCCATTTTTCATATTTCTTATGTTTCCTATGTTCATCTTATTCTTAATTGCTTCTCCAGGCAAAGTGTCTGCAGTCCACTACATCCTAATTTCTTACTTGAACATCATCTGAAATGAAACATGGAGGTAAACACCAAGGTAACCAAGTCCATGTTGGTTGGATTCAAATCTCATCCAGGATTACAACTCTTCCTCTCTATTCTCTTCTCAACAATGTATGTTGTCACTGTGGTAGGAAATGCCTGCATGATCCTCATCATTAGAATGGACTCCAGACTGCACACTCTGACATACTTTTTCCTTGAGAACTTGTACATCTGTTCTTCTTCTGTCATCACTCTCAAAGCAGCACTGACATTCTCACTGAGCAGAAGAATCATCTCTTACAATGGCTGTGCATCTCAAATGTTGTCTCTCTTTGGTACAATGGAAGACTTCTTCCTTGCTGTGGTGGCTTATGGTCGCTTCACTGCCATCTGCAATCGACTGCTGTACCAAATCATTATGAATAAAAGACTTTGTGTTTTCATGGTGGTGGGTGCTTATCTGTCAGACTGCATCAATTGCACCATCCGGACAGGTTTTACATTCAGGTTGTCCTTTTGTGGGCCAAAAAAAATAAACCACTTCTGTGATGTTCCTGCAGTGATGATTTTTGAAACACACTTGTCAATGAAACAGTAATGCTGGCTGTATGTGGATCAATTATTGTGGGCACTGCCTTAGTGGTTTTTATCTCCTACAGTTATATAATCAATATTGTCCAAATGCCTTCATCTGAGAGCATGCACAAGGCTTTCTCCACTTGCTCTTCTCATATGCTGGCGGTGAACTTGTTATTTGGGACTTTTTTTTCAGGTATGCTTAGCCTGGAGGCACATCTTCACCTGACAAAAAGAACATTATCTCTGTTCTCTATACTATTGTTATTTCCATGCTAAACCCTTTCATCTACACCCTCCGAAACAAGAAGGCAAAAGGTTCTCTGAAAAAGCAGTTAAAAAGGACAGGCTTTTTTAAGTACCTTTACAAAAGATACGAATGATCACAGTGTTGAATTTGCTACAGACAGATGTTTAGAATGTAAAACAAGGGACACCAAGGGACATCAGGGGTTGCGTTCAGGAGTCTTTTGTGATTATACATGGTCAGCATCATGGATGAAAGCAGAACATATGAAAGAAATCTAGGAGAATTAGATCAGATGAAGTTGTGGACTCATTTAACCAGATTCAGACATTTACAATCCATCTGAGCTGTAATATAGAGTCCTTTTATATATATATATAAAAGAGTCCTTTTATAATCATTCAAAAGGCACAGGCGTCTTAAAGCCATAATTAATCCAATTGTGTATTAGACATCTAAAGCAGGACGTAAAACTCAGACTCTGGCAGTGCCTTATTTCTGTGCATTGGAACACAGTCAGTTCAGTTGGACACATTCTCACTATAAACATCCAAAGATAAAATAGGTCAGTCAAGAGTGAACTGAACAATTTATTTGTCTGGGACTCCTCCTTTTTTAAACTATATTTTTCTCAATTTTCCTTTTAGTCACTTCTCTTAGAAATTATTGGAACCACTGAAATTCAGGTTCCAGCAATCAAACTTTGATGGGCAATTGAAATCTTGCATCTGAAGTGCTCTCTATCAACAACAACAACAAAATTAATATATAGTTGAATTCTGGTTCCGTATGTTTGTGTGCATGCTTGTATCAGTGTTTGTAATAGGACGGGAACTATTTCTCTGTGTTAAATAAGCTTGTAATAACACAATCTGATACAGTATGATGATAATATGTTTAAGTTCAACTTTACAGCTCCTTGCAGTGCTTCAAAATTCTGGTAAAAAAAAAATGCACATTTCAAAAAATACCAAGTTGAAACTTCTGCATCAAGTGTCTGAAGCATGACCTCTTGTGTTATCATGTAAGCACTATCTTACAAGAAGCTTGCTCAGTTGTCATTGTATTACAACATAAGATAAATGCCAGGGCTGACTAGAAGTCAGAAATTACCTTTTAGAGAAAGTAATTTACATTCTTTAAATTAATTATTTGTTCACTTCCTACTCCCCCCCAACTTTAAAATAAATGAATCGCTATCCACAGTTACCTCTTTCTGTCTTTCGATACATATGGAATTTATACTATAAGCTCAAATGCAGAAGCCTATCTTCCCATGCATACAGAACCATCCTAAACTGATGGAGAAAATATCAGGGGAAAATCCCTTTATGTAGATCACATACCACAGGCATTTCTACGAGCATTTTCTACTGGCCACTATTGTAACTTCAGTGCCCACTAGTCTTCCAAGGGATCTAAACTAGTAGAAAACATCTGTAAACTGTATATTTAAAGACATTGGGATGGAATGCAGCTCCACTTTCAGGTATATATGTTCAGGTACAATGGAGATCTCAGCATCTGAAGGCTAGTATTTTCTAGCAAGCTATTTGGCTCACCCTGCTATAGAGAAGCCTCAACCAGAGGTCCTTTCTAGTTATCACTACATTTGGTAGTTAAAAAACATTAAGTGATATGCACATTTCGTGCCTTTTTGACTTAGGCAGCAGCAAAGCTCCTAACATTGTTTAATTAAATAATACAGATAGAGTTTGTACACACAAATCCTAAATGCTACTTGAGTCAAAACTATGAGGTTGGTATTTTCAGAAATCTCATTTTTGACTGATCCTCAGCCAAATACTAAGCTGTTGGTCTAAACTGAACTGTGTTTAACATTATCTAATCCATTTCAAATTATAGTGCTGTGAAGGAGAAGGATGCTACCTATGTAGAATTTTAATTAAAAAATTAAAACTCAGATATTACTCTAGAGTTCACCAAGACCAGCAGGGCTGGGCACAGGATTCATCTTGTATTTAGATAATGTTCCAGTGCAAATGCATTACAATGCAATGCCCAGACATGGCATCATACTTCTTGGTCGAGGCTACGGAAGGTACTTGTTTTCTGTAGACATCATGTGAAGCAATGAAAGCAGATGATGATCGAGGGGGCAGGGCCAATGATGAATCATCAGACAGAGAAAAGGCCTTCTGGATGTACAGTCAAGGTAAGCACCCCCAGAATGACTGAGGGACAGACAGAAAGGATTCACAAGCAATAACAGAGTTAGGTCTTCTGCTTCCAACAAGGAATTAATTTCTGGCCTATATTCTTGCCCTGTTTTCTCTCTGCCACCAGATGTCTCCATTTTACAGGGAAGAGAAGTAGCAGGAAATTTAGACCCCTTTCAGAACTGCCACAGGACATAATGATAAATATTTGGAAGTTGCAGTGGACTTCACAGTCGTAGTCCTCACTGATATGGGTAGAGAAGAAATCTGAGATTGGACCTTCCTCTTCTTCAGTTATTTGTCTCTTTCTTTCCTGGACAAGATGATTACAGGATAAGCCCTTCATGTGGTCAAATGACACTGATGTTGTGTCATGAAGTAACTGAATAGGAGAATCATAGGATCATAGAATGGTTTGGTTGGGACCTTAAAGATCATCTAGTTTCACCCCCTCTGCCATGGGCAGGGACACCTTCCACTAAACCAGGTTGCTCAAAGCCTTATCCAACCTGGCCTTGAACACTACCAGGGATGGAGCATCCACAACTTCTCTGGGCAACCTGTTCCAGTGCCTCACCACCCTCACAGTGAAGAATTTCTTCCTAGTATCTAATCTAAATCATCCTTCTTCCAATTTAAAGCCCTTGTGCCTTGTCCTATCACTACATACCCTTGTAAAAAGTCCCTCCCTAGTTTTCTTGTAAGCCCCCTTTAGGTACTGGCAGACTGCTCTAAGGTCTCCGTAGAGCCTTTTCTTCTCCAGGCTCAACAACCCCAACACTCTCAGCCAATCTTCATAGGAGAGGTGCTCCAGCCCTCTGATCATCTTTGTGGCCCTCCTCTGGACCCACTCCAACAGGCCCATGTCCCTCTTCTGTTGGGGGCAGTACTCCAGGTCTCAGGAGAGTGGAGTAGAGGGGGAGAATCACCTCCCTTGACCTGCTGGTCACGCTTCTTTTGATGCAGCCCAGGATATGGTCAGCTTTCTGGGCTGCAAGCACACCTTGCCCACTCATGTTGAGCTTCTCATCAATCAACACCCTGCAGTCTTTCTCCCCAGGACTGCTCTCAGTCCATTCTTTACTCAGTCTGTATTTGTGCTTGGGATTGCCCTGACCCATATGCAGGACCTTGTACTTGGCCTTGTTGAATTTCATGAGGTTTGCACGGCCCACCTCTCAAGTTTGTCCAGGTCTTTCTGGATGGCATCCCTTCCCTCCAGCATGGTGACCGTACCACACAGCTTGGCATTGTAAGCAAACTTGCTGAGGCTACACTCAATCCCACTGTCCATGTTGCCGACAAACAGCACCAGTCACAATAACGACTCCTGAGGAATGTCACTCATCACCAGTCTCCTCTTGGACATTGAGCCATTGACCATCCAGCCAATTCCTTATCCACTGAATGGTCAATACATCAAATCCATGTCTCTCCAATTTAGAGACAAGGATGTTGTGCAGGACAGTGTCAAATGCTTTGCACAAGTCCAGGTAGATGATGTCAGTTGCTCTTCCCTTATCCACCAATGCTGTAACCTCATCATAGAAGATCACCAAATTTTTCAGGCACAATTTGCCCTTAGTGAAGCCATGTTGTCTGTCATCAATCACCTCCTTATTTTCCATGTGCCTTAGCATAGTTTCCAGGAGGATCTGCTCCATGATCTTGCCAGGCACAGAGGTGAGACTGACTGGCCTATAGTTCCCCAGGTCTTCCTTTTTTCCCTTTTTAAAACTGAGGGTTATATTTCCCCTTTTCAAGTCAGCGGGAACTTCCCCAGACTGCCATGACTTCTCAAATATGTCGGATAGTGTCTTAGCAACTTCATTTGCCAGTTCCCTCAGGACCTGTGAATGCATGTCATCAGGTCCCATGGACTTGTGCACCTTCAGGTTCCTTTGATGGTCTTGAACCTGATATTCTCCTACAGTGAGCAGTTCTTCATATTCCCAGTCCCTGCCTTTGCCTTCTGCAACTTGGGCAGCGTGGTTGGAGCACTTGTTGGTGAAGACAGAGGCAAAAGAGTTGCTGAGTACCTCGACTTTCTCCATATCCTGGGTAACTAGGTCTCCCATTTCCTTCTGGAGAGGGTCTACATTTTCCCTAGTCTTCCTTTTATCACTGACTTATCCAACGAAACTTTTCTTGTTGCCTTTGATGTCCCTGGCCAGATTTAATTCTACTGAGGCTTTAGCTTTCCTAATCTCATCCCTGGCTGCTCAGACAATTTCTCTGTATTCCTCCCAGGCTATCTATTCTTGCTTCCATCCTCTGTAGGCATCCTTCTTGTGTTTGAGTTTGCCCAGGAGCTCCTTTTTCATCCACACAGGCCTCCTGGTGTTTTTGCCTGATTTCCTCTTGGTTGGGATGCATGACTCCTGAGCTTGGAGGAGGTGATCCTTGAATATTAACCAGCTCTCTTGGGCCTCTCTTCCCTCTCGGGCTTTATCCCATGGTACTCTACCAAGCAGAAGAAGAAGTTGTTAGGGAATGAAAGAATGAAGAATAGGGAATAAAAGAACAAAACCACATCAAAGCTCCAAGTTCAGTCAAAACAGTGAGGCGAGCATTCAGCCTCTTTACATTCAGGGACTTATTAAACATACTTAAAGTAGAAGTGTATGATTCACTTTCTTCTTTCTTTTTTTTTAAATACACCTAAAAGTTATGTACCTTCTCTAATGTAACTGTACAGCTTTCACTAATAGTTCAAGGAAAGACATACACATGACCAGTAATACATATGTAGCACACAATTTAAACAGTCAACTTTTCCGATGGGTTGAATTCTCCTGTGAAGATTCTTTTAGAATCAGAATAGCCCAAGTTGGAAGGGACCTCGAAAGATCTGGTCCAGCCTTTCATGGGAAAGGGAACCTAGATGATATTATCTAGCACCCTGTCCAAATGCATCTTGAAAACCTTCAGCAGAGGGACTCTATCACTTCCCTAG